TGAGAAAGGGCTCTCGGAGCCTCAGGAGCATGTCCCGGGGGGTGAGGGTGATGGGTGGGGGTCACAAGAGAACTCTGCCTGACCAGCAAGAACACTCCCTCCAGTCATCTGTCTCCCCATCACCTGTGGTTTACAGGTAAGAGGTGCGGCACCAGGAGTCCAGGGGTGGGGCTGTTCCCCTTCTGGAAGGCTCTGAGCATTAGCGAGCTCTGCAGGCCCTGTCGGGTCCGTACCTCCTGCTGCTGAAAGGACAAAGTCCTTCCTGGGGTAGAGACCCTCCTCTCTTCATCCCCAGTGGTGACTTCCTCCGCCCAATTCCCCACCTTCCTGTGCCACAGCCACCGACAGTAGTTTGTCCAAGGGCATGGCATGGCCTGCCCCTGCCACACAGGTCCCGTGCCTGCAGACAACCTCCTTCTCTGATAGGCCAATGGAGGAGCAACAGTGATAACAACCATTATTAGCATCTACGAATGTTTCCAAACTCTCACTTAAATTACCCCATTTAATTCTCAAAGTAACCCAGTAGATGGCATAGGTACCCTTACTACGCATTATGCCCTTTTACAGATGAGAAAACTGAGGCTCATTCCTTCAGCTTGGTCAGCACTAGGGTACAAGCCCATAGAGCCAGGCAGGGCTGGTGACAGCAGTGCCCCTGCAGGCCGGGCAGGGCAAGGAGGCCGCGGTGGAGCACTGGCGCTCCGTCACGCAGCGACTGGACCACGAGAGCCAGCGTGGACCAGGTCCCGGGTGCCTGCGCAGAGGCCTGTGCACGGAGCCGCAGGCAGGAGCCTCGAGGCGGGCTGACAGGAGACGACACCGCGCCTCATTTGCTGAGCAACGTTTGTGTAATTAGGCACATTTGCTGCTGGCAGGGAGGAGGAGCGGCCACAACAGCGGCTTCTGGATCGGGCTCCACCAGGCCCCCCCATACTAATCACAGGGCCTGGGCCACAGGGGCCGCTTTCCTCCCGAGCTCTGCCCGTTTCTTACCTGGGACACTGAGGGTGGGGGTGAAGGGGCGGGATTTGCAGCAGTCGCCTCGTCCCCTGTGGCCTGGCTGGGACCCAGTGTCCTGAGGACAAGGTGGAGCCACTGGAAGCCAGGCCAGCAGGATGCGGGGAACAGTGCTGCTGCCATGGCCGGGTGTGAACGGACCAGCCCTCCTTGGCTCCTCAACCCTCGAGCAGAAGCAAGCCCAGCGGCTGTGCAGGGCATGCCCTGGGGGTGGGGACACCTCTGAGCCTGTGTCTGCACCCGTGAGCTGCAGATTTAACCCACCTCACAGGGCCACCGGAAAGTGAGGGAACAGCAGACCGGCTCCAGGGCACAAATTCCTCACCCCTGTACTGTCTGTGGTGATGCTGGGCTCACCACTGGGACTGGTGATCCCAAATGAGCGGGAGAACGACCCTCCTAAGCCCTGGGACCTGGGAATGGGAGCTTCTGCGGGAAAGAGCCGTCGCAGACGTTGAGCTCAGGACCGTTCTGGGTTGTCCCGTGGCCCTCAACGCAATCACAGGTGCCCTGATGAGGGAGGCAGAGGGAGAAACGACCGCAGAGGAGGGCGGCCACGCGAGGACAGAAGCCGGGGAGAAAGGCAACGCAAAGAGAGGCAGGGCCTGTGAGCCAAGGAAAGGATTCTCTCCTGGAGCCGCCAGGAGGAAACGGTTCTCCCAACACCGACTCCTCCAGTCCTCTGGCCTCCAGAGCTCCGAGACCAGATCGGTCCTGGTTAACCCACTGAGTGAGGCGCTTCCTCACAGCAGCAGCAGGAGACTCAGCCAGCGCCCCGCAGCTACCCAGGGAAGTGAAAGCACTGCCGGGCCAGTGAGGGACAAGACTGTTTGTGCAGGCCACTGGCCGGGCCGGACTTCTGCGACCTGCCATCGTCACCTACTTCTCCAGGTGCTCTGCCCACACGCTGCACCTCCCTGGTTAGAAAGGGGGCAGGCCCAGAGGGCGGATGTGGCCCGTGTCCAGCCCAGAGCTGGTGAGGGCGAAGCCTGGAGAAGACGCAGGGCGACCTCCTGCCACAGCTCCACTCGCACAGGGAGGGACAGCACTAGGACGCTCATTCAGCGACCAGGCCCTGCCTGCACAGTGTCTCAAACCTGCGCCTGCAGCAGGCGTGGCACATGCAGACCGTGGCCTTGCCCGGAGCTGGCTCTGCAGGTCCGGGCCTGGGCACCTGCATTCCTAACAGGCTGGGAACCACCGACCTAGGGGCAGTGCCCTCACCAAGGGTGGTCTGTGCTCTTTGGATTCGGTGGAACCTGCCCAGGGGTCCTGGAGTCACACATGTGCTCCCGAGAGAGGCCAGTGTGCGGCCGAGGGGCTGGGCTCAGGGGCGGGAATGGGATTTCTAACTCCCCACCCCTACGTGGGTGACCCTCACGCCAGCTACTTATCCTCTCTGTACTGCCTCAGTTCCTGCACCTGTAAAGCGGGGTGACACGAAATGCACTCTCATAGGGCTGTTGAGAGGAGTGAGATGAAACAGGAAGTGTTTAACAGTCGTAGGTCAGAGTTAATCCGAGAAATCGCATTCGCCATTGGGGGGACTTCTCCTATCAGCTCGGAGGAGATGTGAGCCGGGATGTTCCCCTGCAGTGAGGGGCCTGCTGGCGCCCCTCGGGGAGCTCTCCGCACTGAGCACGCCTTCACGGCCCTGGGACCCCGGCAGGGAAGCACTTCCCGCAGGCCCGCTGTGCCCAGGACCCGTGTCGCCGAACCAGCCAAACATGTCTCAAGAGCAGAAAATCAGCAACTCCAACCCCCTTCTAGAAGGGACTCAGCTCCCTTAACACGCTTAGGTTCGCAGATGCCACCAACTGGGCAATTTCCGGGGGAGCCACTTGCTCCAAATGTACGCATCTCCCCGAAGCTGCTGGAACTGGCCTCAGTCCCCGGCAGCAGCCGAGGCCTGCGAGGTGGGCGGGCTGTGGTGGGCGCATAGCTGCAGCAGCAGGTCCTGCCTCGCCCATGAGAACCAGCCACATGCGCTGAAACGCATCGGAAGACAGGGAGACAATGTCCACATCTGGGACAATGGGAACAACACGCTAAACAGTGATAACCAGAGACTATAACTCACAGACCATCACAGATATCAATGCATTTATTTGGAAAAGAGAAATGGGGAGAAGGCACAGCTAGCTGTTCCTCACAGGAGCATTCTAGCAGATAAATGTGGGAGGAGCGACGTGCACGGAAAGGCGGCACTTGGCAAAGACGGGTAACGCCTGTTTCTGACAAGGGCCGTCATGGAGGTTGCAGTTTGGGGTGCCAATGTGATGAGAAGGAGGGTATGCACACATTAGCAATGTGACTGCTTCGTCATTACAGAGCGACCAACCTCAAACTGGGGAAACGCACCTGAACTAAGCGATCACAACTCATCCAGGGTGAGAAGTATCCCCTCGGCGTGCCCCCGGCAGGAAGGGCACAGCATCGCTTTTCTCATTATTCCCCAAAACACAAAGTCTGAATTTAATCTGAGGCAACATCAGACAAGCCCAGGAGGACGTTTCATGCAGTAACTGGGCTGCCCCCTTCAAAAATGCCACAGTCACAAAGAGAGACCGAGCGACCGTCCCAGATTAAAGGTGAGGATAGAGATAAGACAACTAAATGCAAAAGCTGGGTCCCGAACCAGGGAAAAAAGACATGAGCAGGCACCTGGCCAGATCTGGGCAAGACCCACAAGTTGGTTCCTAGCACATTTGAGGAAGTGGTGAAGGGTATTATGGAAATCTTTGTACTATTTTTGCAACTGTTTTTATATGTCTGAAATTATTCCAAAGTAAAATACATTTTTAAAAAGAAAATAAAAATCCCAGGTTTGATCTGCTGTGGGGAGGACAGGAAATGCGTGCCCAGAAATAGGAGTCACCTGAGGTCGGGTCCCCTCTCAGTCACCTGCCCCCGACCAGGCAGAGGGCGTGCTTTGAACGTAGTGAGTGCTCAGCAAGTGTTCACTGCCTCCACTCGGTCGGGAGCCGGGAGAGCAGTGGGTGGGATGCATGGAGGGCTGTGCACTCAGCACACAGTGATGGTGCACCTACTGTGCGCCAGCCCTGGCAGAGCCTGCTGGGGGGCAGGTGTGAACCCACGGCGCGGTAGTGCGGTGGAATCCAGGGAAGGGTCCCACGCGGTGTGCGGATCCCAGTGCCCCCAGGAGGAGGTGCTCCTCGGCTGAGGCTTAGAGGATCTGAGGAGACGCCAGGAGGAGGCCGGGGCCAGTGGGAATCGTGCGCCATTCTAGGCAGGCTGGGCAGCTGGAGCCGAGGCACAGGAACATGCGACAGGGGTGTGAGTGCTGGAACCACAAACAGCACGTGGGCAGGTGAGGGAGCAGCAGGTATGTTGGGGGCAGGGGAAGATCGTGGCCTCTCTTCTGAAAGCAGACACGGGGGTAGCATGGGCATGGCTCATCAGGTAATAAAGACCAAGAAAAGTGACATCGGCTACAGGCCTCAAGGGGTGTGGTGGGACAGCACTGGCGTCTCCCTACCTGCGGTCTCAAAGCAGGAGCAGGAAGAGGCCCGGAAGTCTGACTCTGAGCTTGTCCTTATAAGCAGGGTGACCCCGGAACTCAGTGTCCAAGTCGGGACACTTCAGAGAGCGAAAGGGGTGCGATGAATTATTATGCCTGGGCAACATGTAAGGAAGGTCAGCACACTTCTACGGGACCTTTGGCCTGAAGGGGCTCTCACTGCCGGGGTACAGAGCCCCAGGTGCATATGGACCCGCTAGGAGAGTTGGCAGCCTTGGAAGTGGTGAGGTGGGAACCAGAAGGAGCTGGGTGTCCACATCCCACCCACACAGCCCCTTAGGGTCCCGCTCAGTGCATCCGTGGGTGGCAAAGGTGACGATGCAGATCAGGAACTCCGAAAAGAAAGACGGAGGCAGGAGAGGTGGCCGGGGCTGGCAGCTGGGCTTCCCCGGTGCAGGGAGACTGCACGCCGAGGCGGCGGGCCGAGGGCAGAACTTACCCGTGCACGCCGTGGGCAGAGTGAGGCTCGTAATGGTACCTTCCCTCCTGGTGTCTCATGTCAATCGGTAAGGGAGCATGGAACGGTGGCAAAAGGTGCTGCGGCACTGTACAGGGGGAGAGAGACAGGACTTCAAAACCTTGCCCCTCCCTGGAGAAGCCCTTTTCAAAGGGCTTTAAAGCTCAATGAATTTCAGAGCAAAAGCAGTCAGGACGGGGGGCTCCGAGGTGCCCGGCTATCACACACCCACGAAGAGGGATGAATAAATAATCAAAGTCAGCCGGAGAACCTACATCACTCACATAAAAGATCCCCAACCGCGCTCTTGACAAAGACAAGCAGCTAAGCGCTCTTTGAACTCGGGGAGATTACAGGCTGGGCCGCAAATCAGGGCTGACAGAGCCGACAGGCTTCTGCCCATCCCGGCCTTGGCTGTGTGGCTCCAGCAGCCCTGGGTGACGGCACCCACGCCAGCAACGGTCACCCGGAGCTCTGTGAAGCCAGGGCCCTCTCCGCTGCAGCCAGCAGACACCTATGTGGGCATGTTAATTCCCCAGCTCTTACCATTAATTACTGACCCTAAGCGTGCTGGCGGGGCCTCTGAGCTGTAAATGCCAACGCGTGAGCATCAGTTTCCAGAGGTGAGTCAGCCCCTGTCTGCACTTGGCCTGCCCTCAACAAATCATCATGGTAATTGTAGGATGCTCTTTGCTTATTAAGAAAAAATTCCTGGGTACCCTGGAGGCAAACGTAATTATAGGTGCCAGGAAAACAAGCCTCTTTAAAAAGTAGTTAGACTGGAGAAAGGGCTAAGACGTGGAGATTTCTCCGCGGACTCACTCACGCGGAAGGCCTGGCCAGTGGGAGTCAGCGGTGAGGCTGACCTGCCGACTGGCTTTGAGCCACGGCCGTTTGTCTTCCACGCACGCGGGGCAGCAGCCCGCCGGGCCTGCCCTAATAAAGGCACACAGACACTGCTGCTCACGTGCAGACTCTGGCACTGCTCTGTAAACACTACCCTCTCCGATTTTACTGTGGTAAAAGACATACAACAGGAAACTTACCATTTCAATCATGCCTGAGTGCACAGCACAGTTAAGCACATTCACACTGCTGTGCAACCACCACCACCATCCATCAGGGGACTTTTCATCTTCCCAAGCTGAATCCCTGGGCCCCTTACACAACTCCCCATCTCCCCACCCTGGCCAGGCGACCACCATCCTAGTTTCTGTCTCTATGAATGTGGCTACTCCAGGTCCCTCAACAGTACTTGTCCTCTCGTGCCCGGTGTATTTCACGAAGCATCATGTCCTCAGTGCTTATCCACTGTACCCTGTGCCCGAAGGGTAGGCCACGTTCTGGTCATCCATTCATCCCCTGAGGGACACTTGGTTTGAATGCTCTGAACTCTTAAAAAGAGAAAACTTTTCTCCTGACATTTTAAACTTTATTTTTACATATTCAATTTTATCTTCATAATTCCACAACACTGGCATCTTCCATGGGGACTTGGGACAAAGAAAACCAATTTCTCACCCTGATTAAATCAATCTCCCAGACTCCAGAAATCTTGGGCTCACAGGGGAACTGGCCTCTAAAAACAGAGGCCAGCGCCTCCTGCTTCCACACGGGGACACACTGGGCTTCGGGAACCCTCGGGGAGCCCAGCAGGGAAGCGGTGCCACCTCCACAGAGGCGCAGGAAAGGGCCTGTATGGTTTCTTCAATGTGGCCAGGCAGACCGAACCACAGCACTGTTAACAAATGTTTCCCTGCATTTCCAAAAGCCCCCCGGGGCAGCCAGGGTGGGTGTTATTGCACCCATTTCTCAGATGAGAAAATGGAGGCCAAGGGTGATTTCAGCTCAGTCACGGGGCTGAAAAGTGGCAGAGCCAGGAGGAGAGTCCAGGGCCCTGGCCAGCTGGTCATAGCCCTTCCCTCTGCCCAGCATGAATGAACACTCAGAGGCAGCCTGATGCAAGGGGAGTGCCTGGGCCTCCTGTCCCCACCGTGCTCACCCACTGTATTTAGCAAATGCACACAGTATCGGGCCTGTTCTAAGCACTTTGTGAATATCAACTCCTAGGTCTTCACAGCAACCTCAAGCTGCACTCACCCCAGAATTCCTGGTGTCACGCTCTCCACCCCCAGCACCTGTGTGTCCTTTTCAACCCAGAGTTCCACCGACAGGGTTGAAGGGGGTCCCTTAATGCAATATTAGATTCCCCCAGCCCACCCTGACCAGGCCCCGCCTAAGCAGCTGTGAGCGGGGATGTGTCCCTGTGCAGGATTAATGCAGCTTCTTCAGGTCTAAAGAGCTCCAGCCGCCACAGGGATGACGTGCTAGTTTCCCAGGCAAACGTGAACTGGAGTGGTGCCCAGGCTGACCTGCCGCTCCACCAAACCAGGCTGTGCATGTGCGTGTGTGCCTGTGAGTGTGTGCCTGTGTGTGCCAGTGTGTATGTGCGTGTGCATGTGTGTATGTGCGTGTGCTCCTGTCCCCACCGTGCTCACCCACTGTATTTAGCAAATGCACACAGTATCGGGCCTGTTCTAAGCACTTTGTGAATATCAACTCCTAGGTCTTCACAGCAACCTCAAGCTGAACTCACCCCAGAATTCCTGGTGTCCCGCTCTCCACCCCCAGCACCTGTGTGTCCTTTTCAACCCAGAGTTCCACCGACAGGGTTGAAGGGGGTCCCTTAATGCAATATTAGATTCCCCCAGCCCACCCTGACCAGGCCCCACCTAAGCAGCTGTGAGCGGGGATGTGTCCCTGTGCAGGATTAATGCAGCTTCTTCAGGTCTAAAGAGCTCCAGCCGCCACAGGGATGACGTGCTAGTTTCCCAGGCAAACGTGAACTGGAGTGGTGCCCAGGCTGACCTGCCGCTCCACCAAACCAGGCTGTGCATGTGCCTGTGTGTATGTGCGTGTGTGCTTGCGTGTATGTGTGTGCGCCTGTGTGTATGTGCCTGTGCATGTGTGCATGTACATGTGTGTATGTGCGTGTGTGCCTGTGTATGTGCCTGTGTGTATGTGCGTGTGCCTGTGTGTATGTGCGTGTGTGTGTGTTGTGGGAGGAGGAGCCTGGGCTTCTGGGAGGAGACATGAGGGACAGCCACCCAGAGTCCTGGGCTGCTCCCTCCTTTCGGCCGGTCCCTGGGGTGACGGCTGTGGAGGTGACATGGGAAGCGGCTTTCTCTTTCTCGAGTCAGAGGGGCAGGGCAGGGCCTGGGCACCTCTGCTGCCCTCCAAGCAGCTGACGCCCATGGGATGAGCAGGCAGCAGGGGCTCTGGCCACAGCCCTGCACCCTCTTGTTACCACTTGGCGTCCTCAGAAGGAGCCCGGGAACACGTGTTAGCGGTTCACCCATCCAGGCATTGATGTGTTAGGTCAGTCGGCAGCTTGGGTGTGGCCTAGTGCCCACCGGGTGGGTCAGGGGAAGTGCCACAGGCACTCACCTCAGTGAAGCCCGCGGCCTCCTGGGCCTTTGCTATGGCACCATGGATCCTTTTCTCTCCAGGAAGCACATGGAGAGCAACGGCCAGGCAGCTCGTGGCTCCCCCCATGGAGCCCTAGGTGCTGCCAGCAGCCAGCACCCAGGAGGCCCTCAGCAGCAGGGTCTCCGAGGACTCACATCCACACGCAGCCCCTGGGGTGGCCCCAGGGCGGATGGACGCATGCCTGCCCACCTTCAGAGGGACCAGTCCACTCACAGCTGGGGCTGAGCCTGGCAGCAGCAGGTAGCAGTAACTACTCATCCCTTCATCCCTTCCCTCCTTAGTGCACTCCTTTATCCACTCATTCACCTGCCTGGTATCTGGGCATGCTCTTAGCAGGCAATGCTCTAGGGCCCTGGAGCAGTGCAGTGACGGCAGCCGCGGTGCCACCTTCACAGAGCCGTGCAGCTCTCCCGAGGACACAAGCCGTGAACAAACTAGCAAATATATTTACACCATAATGTCGGGGATGGCGAAGCTCAGAGGAAACGGGCTGGGCACGGGGCAGAGAGGGGGTGGGATGTGGGTGGGAGTAAGGGCTCCTGCAGGACAGGTGCACCAGGCGGGGGGACAGCACGTGCAAAGGGAAGACTCAGGATGTTGGCGCCAGGAGCAGAGGGTGGAGGTGAGAGAGACAGAGAAGAAGGTCCCATAAGCCTGGTCGGGTTGTGGGAAGGACTCGGATTATTTTGGATGCAGGGGTGGGGTGAGGGGAGAAGGGTTCTGAGCAGGAAATCGAAAGGCCACAGGAGCAGGCCAGGTGGTGTGGGGCTGGCATGCGCCTTGGCCAGGAATCCCAGGTGGGCCCTGCCACTAGTGACCATGGGACTTGGGAGAAATTATGTCCCCTTTTCTGGGTCTCACATTAGCCATCTGCACAATGAGGATTGGGTGAGCTCCAATTTTCTTCCTACCAGACAGTCCTGCTGTTTGTGAGCAGTCACTGTGCCTCTGGGAAAGGGCCACACCTGTCTCAGCCAGGGACACGCCAAGGCGTCCCTAGGGACCTGAGCAGACTGTGGGAGGGACCCTGAGTAGGCCACAGAGGGGCCCTGAGCAGGCCACGGGAGGGACCTGAACAGGCCACAGGTGGGACCCGAGCAGGCCACAGAGGGGCTCTGGTGCAGGCGCTGCTTTGTCTTTGTGGCCCTATCTGTACAACGCACTGACCCAGTGGCCCTCTACCTCCTCTCAGCCCGCCAGCCACAGGGCCTGCCACTGAAGCCACTTGTAGGACAGCCCCCAAAACCGTCTCTGGGACCAACTGTGCCCCCGGTAAACTGAGGGTGAAGGCTGACCCTGGAGCATCTGAGGCTTGAGAACCTTTCAGACCAGCAAGGCCTGTCCCCAACCCCCGTGAAGGAACCTTCCAGAGGCAGCTGCTTAGCCCGGGCCCCTGGGCCAGGCCCCGAGGGAGACGCCACGGTGGACTCGGCGGGCAGTCACTGCCAACAGCCCAGGACCAAGAGGATGAGCGAGAACAAGAGCTGCCTTCGGTGACATGTGGAAGGAGACCCTTCCACACGTTGTTTTCATTGTGCGCTCTTTTTCCAAGTTAAACAAAAATCCCAGCCCGGCATCCTCCCGGCGGAGGGGAGGACA